TCAATACCACAAAAGAAAGGTTGGGATTGATTTTGGGGGTTATGGTACCAACAGTTAAGGAATTAGGGGCCAAAAAGGGGCCAAAAATAAGCATTTTTGTAACTTCCAGACATAACTTGTGTGTTAGTGTATGGATCTCTGACATTGTACCACAAGGTTCCATATCACAAAGGGAATGCTGGGATTGATTTTGGGGGGTAATTGCCTCAAAATATTAGGAATTAGGGGCCAAAAAAGGGGCAAAAAACAAGTATTTTTCTAGTTTCATGACAATAACTTGTGTGTGAGTGTATGGATCTTTCTGAATTTGTACTACAAGGTTCCATATCACAAAGAGAAAGCTGGAATTGAGTTTGGGGGTAATTGCCCAAAACGTTTAGGAAAAAGGGGCCAAAAATAAGCATTTTTCTAGTTTCCAGACAATAACTTGTGTTCAAGTGTATGGATCTCTCTGAAATTGTACTGCAAGGTACCATACCACTAAGGGAAGGCTGGGATTGATTTTGAGGGTAATTGCCTCAAAATTTTAGGAATTAGGGGCCAAAAAGGGACAAAAAACAAGCATTTTTCTAGTTTCAGGACAATAACTTGTGTGTAAGTGTATGGATCTTTATGACAAGGTTCCATATCACAAAGGGAAAGCTGGGTTTGAGTTTGGGGGTAATTGCCCTAAACGTTTAGGAATTTGGGGCCAAAAAGGGACAAAAAAACAAGCATTTTTCTAGTTTCCAGACAATAACTTGTGTTCAAGTGTATGAATCTCTCTGAAATTGTACTGCAAGGTACCATACCACAAAGGGAAGGCTGTTATTGAGTTTTGGGGTGATGAATCATAAGGGGGTTCAAAAAATTTGGGGGGGAGGATTTTTTTTCCTTTTTTTTTCTTTAAAATTTTCCATTTTAAATTGGTTATTTCTGATTTATATATAAAAGCAAATCATTATGATATGGTTTGAATAGGTAAATTAAAATTTTTTAAGTTCTTAGACCACATTCTTTCTGTGTCAGAAACCTATGCTGTGTCAAATATTTAATCACAATCCAAATTCAGAGCTGTATCAAGCTTGAATGTTGTGTCCATACTTGCCCCAACTGGTCAGGGTTCGACCTCTGCAGTCGTATCAAGCTGCGCCCCAGCGGAGCATTTTATTATTGTTCGTTCTTATGTTGTACTGTCACACCACTGTCCCAGGTTAGGGGGAGGGTTTGGATCCCGCTAACATGTTTAACCCCGCCACATTCTGTATGTATGTGCCTGTCCCAAGTCAGGAGCCCGTAATTCAGTGGTTGTCGTTTGTTTATGTGTTACATATTTGTTTTTCGTTCATTTTTTGTACATAAATTAGGCCGTTAGTTTTTCGTTTGAATTGTTTTACATTTGTGATTTCGGGGCCTTTTATAGCTGACTATGCGGTATGGGCATTGCTCATTGTTGAAGGCCGTACGGTGACCTATAGTTGTTAATTTCTGTGTCATTTGGTCTCTTGTGTAGAGTTGTTGTCTCATTGGCAATCATACCACATCTTCTTTTTTATATTTAAGGTTAAGTTTTGGTGGTCAAGTCCATATCTCAGATACTATAAGCAATAGGTCTAGTATATTCAGTGTATGGAAGGACTGTAAGGTGTACATGACCAACTGGCAGGTGTCATCTGACCTTGACCTCATTTTCATAGTTCAGTAGTTATAGTTAAGTTTTTGTGTTTTGGTCTGTTTTTCTTATACTGTATGCAATAGGTCTACTATATTTGGTGTATGGAATGATTGTAAGGTGTACATGTCTAGCTGGCAGGTGTCATCTGACCATGACCTCATTTTCATGGTTCAGTAGTCAAAGTTAAATTTTTGAGTTTTGGTCTTTTTTTCTAACACTAAATGCAATAGGTCAACTATATTTGGTGTATGGAAACATTTTATGATGTACATGTCAGTCCCGAAGGTTTAATTTGACTGTGACCTTATTTTCACGGTTCATTGCTCAGTGTTAAGTTTTTGTGTTTTGGTCTGTTTTTCTTAATCTATAAGCAATAGGTCAACTATATGTGTTGTATGGAAGGATTGTAAGCTGTACATGTCTGCCTGGCATGGTTCATCTGATGTTCACCTCATTTCCATGGTTCATTGGTCAATGTTTAGTTTTCTTGGTTAAGTCTGCTTCTTAGAAACTATAAGCAATACCGGTAGGTCAACTGTATTTAGTAATTTGAATGATTGTAAGGTGTACATATATTTCTTGTCAGGTTTATATGACCTTGAATTCATTTTCTTGGATCATGTTGAGTTTATGTGATAGTTGTAGTAAAGCTTTATATTTAGGACTATCAACATGATATCAATGATTAGTAAAGAAGGTGCAACATTTCAGTGTGTGCACTCTTGTGTATACATTAAACACCACATTTACTGTTTTTACCCTGATTTTATGGATCACTGAACATAGAAATGTCATAATGTGAAATTATAGTACATTCTTAGGTTAAAGTTTTAGGTTAAGGTACATAGCTTACCATGAAGTTGAATTTCATGCACATGTTCATTATGTGGTGAATTTTTAAATTCAGTGCCAAACTAAGATTTTGAGCCTGATTACATGATTGACTAGACATTGACACATGCTAGTGTTTGCCAGGCATTGTGTCCTGTACTAGGAATTTGTCCTGTACTAAGAACTTTAATAGTACTCGCTAATTATGGAGTTTTTGTGAAAGTTTAATATTAGTGAGATTTTTGCATGACATCCGGTCAACTGCTTGTTGATCATGTTTATACATGTCTTAAAATTAATATCTGACACATTGGTGTTTTGTGAACTTGGAAATAAGTTATTTGATAGAATAATAATGTTTTGAGATTATCAAAATAAAAAATATCCCATTTTTACTACATTGTGTATTAATGATTAAGTATATAAAAAAGAAGATTTAGGATATATGTATAACCATATATAAAAATGAGACAGCAACCGAACAACACAAAAATAAGAAAAAAAAAACAATATAATTTTTTGTATCAATGTTATAATTTCCAACATGTCCAAAGAGTTCAATGTATTTTCTAATTGAAATATAACACAAGTGGAACTCTTTCAGAACTTCAGAACTTCAGAAGCTTAAAGAAGTGCTGTTTCTATTGTTGGCTTTCTGTATAATATATTGCAAATTCTTGTGAAAAATGGAATTTTATTGTAATTGCCTAAAGTTTTAACATTGATCTATATATATATAACTGGGGAAAATACCCAAATGTTATAAAGAAGAATACATAAATTGATTGTTATATAATAATAGAATAGGAAGATGTGGTATAGTGCTAATTTGACAACTCTCCATCAGAGACCAAAGGATGTAGGAGGTTAGCAACTGATGACACTGGACAACCTTCAACAATCAGTAAAATCCATACCGCATAGCTATTTTTATTGAAAATCATATGTTCTTGCTACATGTATGTATACAATTTTTTATTATCCATAACTTCGGATTTTATTGGTTCTTTTTCAGAAGGATTGGAATTCATCACTGAGAATAGAAGGAGAAAACACAGAAACAAGACCAAAATAAATTCAAAGACAAAAGTCAGATCAGTTATTATTTTCATCACTCAGCCAATGAATTGCAGTTCTATTAAATATCTAAAGATATTAAAACCACAATAATGACAATGTTCTGTGCTGAATGGCAAAAAAGTGGACTATACATTACGATCACACAATGCTGGATGATAAGAAACTATTAATTTTTTGGGTGGAGGGATATCCTGAAAAAAAAAATAGATTTATGTAAAAAGCTACTAGTATGTTAAGCATATTAATAGAGTTTTCATTGATTTCAAATGGGAAAAAATTGTGTTTCAAAAAAGTGTTCTAGAATTCATAAATAAACATATATTGATACTTACATTATCTGCTTTGTTGTTTAAAAGTTTAGTTTTGAACAGTTATAGAACAATATAATTGCATTAACATTTCCAAGGAACAAAAAAGATATTCAACTAAAAAGATTCATCTTAAAACAATTTACTACCAAACAGAATTCATTGTAACATACACATTTATTTACTGTATATTTATAATTTGAATCATAGGATTTTATTTTGTCCCATGGGATATTAAAAATCCCATGGGATAATTATAGTCCCATGGGATTTTTTTTGTCCCATGGGACAACAAATATCCCATGGGACTACAATTATCCCATGGGACCCAAAAAAATCCCATGGGATTTAACCAAAATCCCATGGGATAATGGTCAATCCCATGGGATTTGCCTTATCCCATGGGATATTGAAAATCCCATGTTTTTCTAAATCAAATTACAAAATATATATAATAATAACAGCAGAAAAGCAATGAAATTATTGAATCCCATGTAATTCCGCACATTTTGGTTATTTACACGACACTGTAGGTCTAAGGAGAGGCGGCGGCGGATTTGCAAATGAGTGTTTTGCAAATTAAAAGTGTCCAGTGTTTATAGATATAAGAAGATGTGGTATGAGTGCCAATGAGACAACTCTCCATCCAAGTAAAAATTTATAAAAGTAAACCATTATAGGTCACAGTACGCTCTTCAACACGGAGCCTTGGCTCACACCGAACCGTAAGCTATAAAGGGCCCCAAAAAATTACTAGTGTAAAACCATTCAAACGGGAAAACCAACGGTCTATATAAAAAAACGAGAAACGAGAAACACTTATGAACCAAATCAACAAACGACAACTACTGAACATCAGCATGTTCTTGAGGGGTATTTGCGAAAAATACCAGTCTTGAGAATGAATTTCCCTCGCCTTACGGCTCGCGAAATTTAACATTCTCTCGACTGGTATTTTTCGCAAATACCCCTCCTTAACATGATATATCTGTGCAAAACACCACAACTCATGTTTGAAATAGATAGATTAAAAAAATCTTTAGAAATGAAATATCAGGATAATATTGTGTATATAATTCTTATCAATGTCTATTATTTAAATAGCAGTACTGTGTACTTACAAAAAACGTGAAAACATTGCCTTTTGTGGTACAAAAATATGCACACTTGAATACGCTTTCGGATTCAACGGCGTGTGTACTGTCTGGAAAATATTGGTTTAAAGTTCGTTTTGTATCGTTAATTGTAACCATATTAACTGATACGTCCAAGCAACCTGAAAAATAAATACACAGATGCATGTGACGTACAAATGTAAAACGTAGCAAGGTTTACAGGTTGTTTAAAAAATAAATAAATCAATTTTCAGTTTAAGAAGGCGTTTACGGTAAAAAAAAAATTACAATCTACAAGGATTTTAATGCTTACAGATGATAATCAGCAAAACATGTGATATGATATATTCGACATTTTGTGGTGGATACAATTATGACTTGTAATATTATGTTTAGCTTTGTGTTGAATACCTCATTGTGACTTTGAGATGAAGAACAGCAATAAAAGCGCTGTCACTTCCCTTTTTGTGTTTTTGCAGTACATGTACTGATTTTGTGTCATGAGTGGATCCCCTATATCCTTTCTTCTCTATCAGATACGGATGTGGTTATGTAAAAAAAATTTTAAACAATATTTTTGGTTATACGTTAGCTCTATTTAGGTTTGAATGTTTTCTACATTTTTTAAAGCGCATTTGACACAGTATGACGATCAGCACTTTGGTTGTTTGATAAAAAGACCATAAACCCACTAATTCATGGTATGGTATCAATATTTCTGACCTGACACTACGTACTTTTTATTGCTTAATTCTTTAGAATTTAATATGCAATGTTTCGGGTTCTTTCGGGAGTATTCCCAGGTAAACCCTCATCAGAGGCCGACCTTTAGCTATTTATTTCGTATCTAGTATCATAGATAGATGTGTGTCTGTTTCATAACAGTTTTTTTTATTTAATTTATTAACTACACGTGCATATAGGTCTACGTTGTAGCTAGTCTTTTTACAGACTAAAGAAACTGACCAAGTAGATCAGCACCTTTGGTTAATTATTCATATATATAATGAAAAGACTTATTGTCTTTATTCTCGTAATCTAATCTATCATAAATCTACACGAGATCTAATAGTTAGTAGTTATCAGTGCTATACTGTTGAATTCACACTAGACTGCCGTGTATGTTTTAACACCTATTTGATAATATACCAATGTCTCCATGTTTAACAATTGAAGAGGTTTGTGTAGATACCATGTCGGGTCTATGCATGAATATAACAGGAACCATTCTGTTTTCCCTTGTACGTGATCTCTTGAAATAAATCGACATCACGTCTTTTTACATCTGTTTCACAGTATAATGATTGTATACTAAAGCCTCTCGTGGTGGGGTATTGTGAATCAATGTCTTCGGCTTAATGATTAATTATCATGTTGCCAATATTCTTATTGTTTTTTAAACCAATATCTGGTTTGGATTTAGATAGTTTGTTTTTTTTTTTTTTTTTTTTTTTTTTTTGGCAATCGGATCTTTCCGAATTATATACCAAATTTTGTTATTACCGTGTTAAGATATTCAAGATATTTCTGCCACTTGTTTTCTAATATTTGGTTTCTTTCGAAGTTGCTGTCTGCATCTATGCTAACTCAGCCTAAGTGTATTTGTTAGGGAGGAATCCGCAAGACATTTACACTTAAGACCGTATTTATACGTTTATCTTATAAGTACATGTTGCTATTGATTCTAAGAATTCTCGTACCTTCAGAAGGAATGAAAACAATGTACTATTTCAAATAGTTGTTCACTTTGTTCACCTTCTTCATTAAATATATTAAATCCATCAATTCTCATTCTCTAGTGGAATTTAATTTATTTTCGTAGGGTATTTCTCTGTTTTATGTCTATAATTATGGTTAAATATAGCAATATCAGATATTTCCAGGGAGGCAACTCTGCCCATTGAAACGCCAACGATCTGTTGCTAGTATAATAGTATTACTTTCGTTGTTCATTGACAATCATATTTATTTGTTATTAGTTTCCATGTAACCTTCAACGGCTTGACATAATAATTATTATCGATATTAGTTGCTTAACGTCCTGTTGCCAATATTTCATGTATGTTTAGGACTGTGATATAGTGATGACATAAGGTTGTTTGCTAGTATAATAGTATAACTTCCATAGTTCGTTGACAATCATATTAGTTGTAGTTAGTTTCCATGCTACCTTCTAAGGTTTGACATGATACAGCGATAAATTAACGATTTATGGTTTTTGGTTGCTTAGCATCCAGTGGCAAATATTTCATGTATGTTGAGGAATATGATATAGTGATGACATAAGGTTGTTTGCTAGTATAATTGTATAACTTCCATAGTTCATTGACAATCATATTAATTTGTAGTTAGTTTCCATGCTACCTAGTAAGGTTTGACATGATATAGCGATAAATTAAAGATTTTAAGCTGCTAAGCATCCAGTGGCAAATATTTCATGTATGTTTAGGACTATGATATAGTGATGACATAAGGTTGTTTGCTAGTATAATAGTACAACTTCCATAGTTCATTGACAATCATATTAGTTTGTAGTAAGTTTCCATGCTACCTTCTAAGGTTTGACACGATACAGCGATGAATTATTGATTGTGGTTACTTAAAGTCCAGTGACAAATATTTCATGTATGTTTTAGACGATGATATATATAGTGATAACATAAGGTTGTTTGCTAGTATAATAGTATAACTTCCATAGTTCATTGACAATCATATTAGTTTGTAGTCAGTTTTCATGATACCTTCTAAGGTTTGACATGATACAGCATCCAGTGGCAAATATACCATGTATGTTTAGGACTATGATATAGTGATGACATAAGGTTGCTTGCTAGTATAATAGTATAACTTCCATAGTTCATTGACAATCATATTGGTTTGTAGTTAGTTTCCATGCTACCTATTAAGGTTTGACATGATATAGCGATAAATTATTTTTTTGTTTTTGTTTTTTTTTGTTTTTTTGTTTTATATGTTTTATAAAAAAAGACCATAAACCCACTATATTTATCATAGTTCTAAACGTACATGAAATATTTGCCACTGGATGCTAAGCAACCAACAAACTTTAAGTTATCGCTGTATCATGTCAAACCTTAGAAGGTATCATGAAAACTAACTACAAACTAATATGATTGTCAATGATCTATGGAAGTTATACTATTATACTAGCAAACAACCTTATGTCATCACTATATCATCGTCCTAAACATACATGAAATATTTGCCACTGGATGCTAAGCAACCAACAATGGTTAATTTATCGCTATATCATGTCAAACCTTAGAAGGTATCATGAAAACTAACTACAAACTAATATGATTGTCAATGATCTATGGAAGTTATACTATTATACTAGCAAACAACCTTATGTCATCACTATATCATAGTCCTAAACATACATGAAATATTTGCCACTGGATGCTAAGCAACCAACAAACTTTAATTTATCGCTGTATCATGTCAAACCTTCGAAGGTATCATGAAAACTAACTACAAACTAATATGATTGTCAATGATCTATGGAAGTTATACTATTATACTAGCAAACAACCTTATGTCATCACTATATCATAGTCCTAAACATACATGAAATATTTGCCACTGGATGCTAAGCAACCAACAATGGTTAATTTATCGCTATATCATGTCAAACCTTAGAAGGTAGCATGGAAGCTAACTACAAACTAATATGATTGTCAATGAACTATGGAAGTTATACTATTATACTAGCAAGCAACCTTATGTCATCACTATATCATAGTCCTAAACATACATGGTATATTTGCCACTGGATGCTGTATCGTGTCAAACCTTAGAAGGTATCATGAAAACTGACTACAAACTAATATGATTGTCAATGAACTATGGAAGTTATACTATTATACTAGCAAACAACCTTATGTTATCACTATATATATCATCGTCTAAAACATACATGAAATATTTGTCACTGGACTTTAAGTAACCACAATCAATAATTCATCGCTGTATCGTGTCAAACCTTAGAAGGTAGCATAGAAACTAACTACAAACTAATATGATTGTCAATGAACTATGGAAGTTATACTATTATACTAGCAAACAACCTTATGTCATCACTATATCATAGTCCTAAACATACATGAAATATTTGCCACTGGAGGCTAAGCAACCAACAATCTTTAATCTATCGCTGTATCATGCCAAACCTTAGAAGGTAGCATGGAAACTTACTACAAACTAATATGATTGTCAATGAACTATGGAAGTTGTACTATTATACTAGCAAACAACCTTATGTCATCCCTATATCATAGTCCTAAACATACATGAAATATTTGCCACTGGATGCTTAGCAGCTTAAAATCTTTAATTTATCGCTATATCATGTCAAACCTTACTAGGTAGCATGGAAACTAACTACAAATTAATATGATTGTCAATGAACTATGGAAGTTATACAATTATACTAGCAAACAACCTTATGTCATCACTATATCATATTCCTCAACATACATGAAATATTTGCCACTGGATGCTAAGCAACCAAAAACCATAAATCGTTAATTTATCGCTGTATCATGTCAAACCTTAGAAGGTAGCATGGAAACTAACTACAACTAATATGATTGTCAACGAACTATGGAAGTTATACTATTATACTAGCAAACAACCTTATGTCATCACTATATCATATTCCTTAACATACATGAAATATTTGCCACTGGATGCTAAGCAACCAAAAACCATAAATCGTTAATTTATCGCTGTATCATGTCAAACCTTAGAAGGTAGCATGGAAACTAACTACAACTAATATGATTGTCAACGAACTATGGAAGTTATACTATTATACTAGCAAACAACCTTATGTCATCACTATATCACAGTCCTAAACATACATGAAATATTGGCAACAGGACGTTAAGCAACTAATATCGATAATAATTATTATGTCAAGCCGTTGAAGGTTACATGGAAACTAATAACAAATACATATGATTGTCAATGAACAACGAAAGTAATACTATTATACTAGCAACAGATCGTTGGCGTTTCAATGGGCAGAGTTGCCTCCCTGGAAATATCTGATCTTGCTATATTTAACCATAATTATAGACATAAAACAGAGAAATACCCTACGAAAATAATATTAAATTCCACTAAAGAATGAGAATTGATGGATTTAATATATTTAATGAAGAAGGTGAACAAAGTGAACAACTATTTGAAATAGTACATTGTTTTCATTCCTTCTGAAGGTACGAGAATTCTTAGAATCAATAGCAACATGTACTAATAAGATAAACGTATAAATACGGTCATAAGTGTAAATGTCTTGCGAATTCCTACCTAACAAATACACTTAGGCTGAGTTAGCATAGATACAGACAGCAACTTCGAAAGAAACCAAATATTAGAAAACAAGTGGCAGAAATATCTTGAATATCTTAACACGGTAATTACAAAATTTGGTATATAATTCGGAAAGATCCGATTGCCAAAAAAAAAATAAATAAAAAACAAAACAAAAAAACTAAAAAAAAAAAAACAAACTATCTAAATCCAAACCAGATATTGGTTTAAAAAACAATAAGAATATTGGCAACATGATAATTAATCATTAAGCCGAAGACATTGATTCACAATACCCCACCACGGGAGGCTTTAGTATACAATCATTATACTGTGAAACAGATGTAAAAAGACGTGATGCCGATTTATTTCAAGAGATCACGTACAAGGGAAAACAGAATGGTTCCTGTTATATTCATGCATAGACCTGACATGGTATCTACACAAACCTCTTCAATTGTTAAACATGGAGACATTGGTATATTATCAAATAGGTGTTAAAACATACACGGCAGTCTAGTGTGAATTCAACAGTATAGCACTGATAACTACTAACTATTAGATCTCGTGTAGATTTATGATAGATTAGATTACGAGAATAAAGACAATAAGTCTTTTCATTATATATATGAATAATTAACCAAAGGTGCTGATCTACTTGGTCAGTTTCTTTAGTCTGTAAAAAGACTAGCTACAACGTAGACCTATATGCACGTGTAGTTAATAAATTAAATAAAAAAAACTGTTATGAAACAGACACACATCTATCTATGATACTAGATACGAAATAAATAGCTAAAGGTCGGCCTCTGATGAGGGTTTACCTGGGAATACTCCCGAAAGAACCCGAAACATTGCATATTAAATTCTAAAGAATTAAGCAATAAAAAGTACGTAGTGTCAGGTCAGAAATATTGATACCATACCATGAATAAGTGGGTTATGGTCTTTTTATAAAACAATTTGATACGGTGAATATTTCACTAGTTGTGATCTCACCCGTTGAATCAGGTTCTATTTAATTATAGAATTTTTGATCCTTATTTATGCTATGGTACGACGTATTTCTGATCGAGAAACTACGTACGACACTATACTATATGTACAATGTAATAGTATACAATTCTATATGTATATACATGTAATACTGTACATCTTTCTTTATGTATATAACACTGTACATCTTATACAATATACATGTAACTAATTATGTAAATAACATAGATCTACTATATAGCTATCACTATTTACATATGAAACAAAGATATACCTGAAACAATAAAGTAATGAATAAAAATAAAATAAAATAATACAGAAACAAAATGTATGCATATAACATACAAGACACTGATATATATATATATATATATATATATATTGGAAAATGATACCGAATCATATTTGACTGAAACATGGAAGTTAAACTATTATACTAGCAAACAACCTTATGTCAACATAGTCCTTAAACATACTTGAAATATTTGCAATTGGACGTATAGCAATCAACAATCAATAATTCATCACTAAGTTAAACCTAAGAAGGTAACATGGAAAATAATTTACAAACTGATATGATTGTAAATGAACTAGCTAAGGGAAGTTATACTATTAAACTAGCAAACAACCTTATGTTATCACTATATATATCATCGTCTAAAAAATACATGTAATATTTGTCACTGGACTTTAAGTAACCACAATCAATAATTCATCGCTGTATCGTGTCAAACCTTACAAGGTAGCATGGAAACTAACTACAAACTAATATGATTGTCAATGAACTATGGAAGTTATACTATTATACTAGCAAACAACCTTGTTTCACCACTGTATGTATCATAGTTCTAAACATACATGAAATATTTGCCACTGGATGCTAAGCATCAACAAATCTTTAATTCATCGCTGAATCCTGTCAAACCTCAGAAGGTAGCATGGAAACTAACTACAAACTAATATGATTGTCAATGAACTATTGAAGTAATACTATTATACTAGCAAACAACCTTATGTCATCACTATCTCATAGTCCTAAACATACATGAAATATTTGCCACTGGATGCTAAGCAACCAACAAATCTTTAATTCATCGCTGTATCATGCCAAACCTTAGAAGATAGCATAAAAACTAACTACAAACTAATATGATTGTCAATGAACTATGGAAGTTATACTTTTATACTAGCAAACAACCTTATGTCATCACTATATCATAGTCCTAAACATACATGAAATATTTGCCACTAGATGCTTAGCAACCAACAAATCTTTAGTTCATCGCTGTTTCATGTCAAACCTTAGAAGGTAGCATGGAAACTAATTACAATAATATGATTGTCAATGAACTATGGAAGTTATACTATTATACTAGCAAACAACCTTGTTCCACCACTATATGTATCATATTTCTAAACATACATGAAATATTTGCCACTGGATGCTAAGCAACCAACAAATCTTCAATTCATCACTATTTCATGTCAAACCTTAGAAGGTAGCATGAAAATTAACTACAAACTAATATGATTGTCAATGAACTATGGAGGTCATACTATTATACTAGCAAACATCCTTGTTTCACCACTATATGTATCATAGTTCTAAACGTACATGAAATATTTGCCACTGGATGCTAAGCAACCAACAAACTTTAATTTATCGCTGTATCATGTCAAACCTTAGAAGGTATCATGAAAACTAACTACAAACTAATATGATTGTCAATGATCTATGGAAGATATACTATTATACTAGCAAACAACCTTATGTCATCACTATATCATAGTCCTAAACATACATGAAATATTTGCCACTGGATGCTAAGCAACCAACAATGGTTAATTTATCGCTATATCATGTCAAACCTTAGAAGGTAGCATGGAAACTAACTACAAACTAATATGATTGTCAATGAACTATGGAAGTTATACTATTATACTAGCAAGCAACCTTATGTCATCACTATATCATAGTCCTAAACATACATGGTATATTTGCCACTGGATGCTGTATCATGTCAAACCTTAGAAGGTATCATGAAAACTGACTACAAACTAATATGATTGTCAATGAACTATGGAAGTTATACTATTATACTAGCAAACAACCTTATGTTATCACTATATATATCATCGTCTAAAACATACATGAAATATTTGTCACTGGACTTTAAGTAACCACAATCAATAATTCATCGCTGTATCGTGTCAAACCTTAGAAGGAAGCATGAAAACTAACTACAAACTAATATGATTGTCAATGAACTATGGAAGTTATACTATTATACTAGCAAACAACCTTATGTCATCACTATATCATAGTCCTAAACATACATGAAATATTTGCCACTGGAGGCTAAGCAACCAACAATCTTTAATCTATCGCTGTATCAAGCCAAACCTTAGAAGGTAGCATGGAAACTTACTACAAACTAATATGATTGTCAATGAACTATGGAAGTTGTACTATTATACTAGCAAACAACCTTATGTCATCACTATATCATAGTCCTAAACATACATGAAATATTTGCCACTGGATGCTAAGCAACCAACAAATCTTCAATTCATCGCTGTATCATGTCAAACCTTAGAAGGTAGCATGAAAACTAACTACAAACTGATATGATTGTCAATGAACTATGGAAGTTATACTTTTATACTAGCAAACAACCTTATGTCATCACTATATCATAGTCCTAAACATACATGAAATATTTGCCACTGGATGCTTAGCAACCAACAAATCTTTAGTTCATCGCTGTTTCATGTCAAACCTTAGAAGGTAGCATGGAAACTAATTACAATAATATGATTGTCAATGAACTATGGAAGTTATACTATTATACTAGCAAACAACCTTGTTCCACCACTATATGTATCATATTTCTAAACATACATGAAATATTTGCCACTGGATTCTAAGCAACCAACAAATCTTCAATTCATCACTATTTCATGTCAAACCTTAGAAGGTAGCATGAAAATTAACTACAAACTAATATGATTGTCAATGAACTATGGAAGTTATACTATTATACTAGCAAACATCCTTGTTTCACCACTATATGTATCATAGTTCTAAACGTACATGAAATATTTGCCACTGGATTCTAAGCAACCAACAAACTTTAATTTATCGCTGTATCATGTCAAACCTTAGAAGGTATCATGAAAACTAACTACAAACTAATATGATTGTCAATGATCTATGGAAGTTATACTAATATACTAGCAAACAACCTTATGTCATCACTATATCATAGTCCTAAACATACATGAAATATTTGCCACTGGATGCTAAGCAACCAACAATCGTTAATTTATCGCTATATCATGTCAAACCTTAGAAGGAAGCATGGAAACTAACTACAAACTAATATGATTGTCAATGAACTATGGAAGTTATACTATTATACTAGCAAACAACCTTATGTTATCACTATATATATCATCGTCTAAAACATACATGAAATATTTGTCACTGGACTTTAAGTAACCACAATCAATAATTCATCGCTGTATCGTGTCAAACCTTAGAAGGTAGCATGGAAACTAACTACAAACTAATATGATTGTCAATGAACTATGGAAGTTATACTATTATACTAGCAAACAACCTTATGTCATCACTATATCATAGTCCTAAACATACATGAAATATTTGCCACTGGAGGCTAAGCAACCAACAATCTTTAATCTATCGCTGCATCATGCCAAACCTTAGAAGGTAGCATGGAAACTTACTACAAACTAATATGATTGTCAATGAACTATGGAAGTTGTACTATTATACTTGCAAACAACCTTATGTCATCACTATATCATAGTCCTAAACATACATGAAATATTTGCCACTGGATGCTAAGCAACCAACAAATCTTCAATTCATCGCTGTATCATGTCAAACCTTAGAAGGTAGCATGAAAACTAACTACAAACTGATATGATTGTCAATGAACTATGGAAGTTATACTTTTATACTAGCAAACAACCTTATGTCATCACTATATCATAGTCCTAAACATACATGAAATATTTGCCACTGGATGCTTAGCAACCAACAAATCTTTAGTTCATCGCTGTTTCATGTCAAACTTTAGAAGGTAGCATGGAAACTAATTACAATAATATGATTGTCAATGAACTATGGAAGTTATACTATTATACTAGCAAACAACCTTGTTCCACCACTATATGTATCATATTTCTAAACATACATGAAATATTTGCCACTGGATTCTAAGCAACCAACAAATCTTCAATTCATCACTATTTCATGTCAAACCTTAGAAGGTAGCATGAAAATTAACTACAAACTAATATGATTGTCAATGAACTATGGAAGTTATACTATTATACTAGCAAACATCCTTGTTTCACCACTATATGTATCATAGTTCTAAACGTACATGAAATATTTGCCACTGGATTCTAAGCAACCAACAAACTTTAATTTATCGCTGTATCATGTCAAACCTTAGAAGGTATCATGAAAACTAACTACAAACTAATATGATTGTCAATGATCTATGGAAGTTATACTAATATACTAGCAAACAACCTTATGTCATCATTATATCATAGTCCTAAACATACATGAAATATTTGCCACTGGATGCTAAGCAACCAACAATCGTTAATTTATCGCTATATCATGTCAAACCTTAGAAGGAAGCATGGAAATAACTACAAACTAATATGATTGTCAATGAACTATGGAAGTTATACTATTATACTAGCAAGCAACCTTATGTCATCACTATATCATAGTCCTAAACATACATAGTATATTTGCCACTGGATGCTGTATCATGTCAAACCTTAGAAGGTATCATGAAAACTGACAACAAACTAATATGATTGTCAATGAACTATGGAAGTTATACTATTATACTAGCAAACAACCTTATGTTATCACTATATATATCATCGTCTAAAACATACATGAAATATTTGTCACTGGACTTTAAGTAACCACAATCAATAATTCATCGCTGTATCGTGTCAAACCTTAGAAGGTAGCATGGAAACTAACTACAAACTAATATGATTGTCAATGAACTATGGAAGTTATACTATTATACTAGCAAACAACCTTATGTCATCACTATATCATAGTCCTAAACATACATGAAATATTTGCCACTGGAGGCTAAGCAACCAACAATCTTTAATCTATCGCTGTATCATGCCAAACCTTAGAAGGTAGCATGGAAACTTACTACAAACTAATATGATTGTCAATGAACTATGGAAGTTATACTATTATACTAGCAAACAACCTTATGTCATCACTATATCATAGTCCTAAACATACATGAAATATTTGCCACTGGATGCTTAGCAGCTTAAAATCTTTAATTTATCGCTATATCATGTCAAACCTTACAAGGTAGCATGGAAACTAACTACAAATTAATATGATTGTCAATGAACTATGGAAGTTATACTATTATACTAGCAAACAACCTTATGTCATCACTATATCATATTCCTTGACATACATGAAATATTTGCCACTGGATGCTAAGCAACCAAAAACCATAAATCGTTAATTTAGAAGGTAGCATGGAAACTAACTACAACTAATATGATTGTCAACGAACTATGGAAGTTATACTATTATACTAGCAAACAACCTTATGTCATCACTATATCACAGTCCTAAACATACATGAAATATTGGCAACAGGACGTTAAGCAACTAATATCGATAATAATTATTATGTCAAGCCGTTGAAGGTTACATGGAAACTAATAACAAATAAATATGATTGTCAATGAACAACGAAAGTAATACTATTATACTAGCAACAGATCGTTGGCGTTTCAATGGGCAGAGTTGCCTCCCTGGAAATATCTGATATTGCTATATTTAACCATAATTATAGACATAAAACAGAGAAATACCCTACGAAAATAATATTAAATTCCACTAAAGAATGAGAATTGATGGATTTAATATATTTAATGAAGAAGGTGAACAGAGTGAACAACTATTTGAAATAGTACATTGTTTTCATTCCTTCTGAAGGTACGAGAATTCTTAGAATCAATAGCAACATGTACTTATAAGATAAACGTATATATACGGTCTAAAGTGTAAATGTCTTGCGGATTCCTCCCTAACAAATACACTTAGGCTGAGTTAGCATAGATGCAGACAGCAACTTCGTATATAATTCGGAAAGATCCGATTGCCCCCCCCCCAAAAAAAAACAAAAAAAAAAAAAAAAAAACTAAAAAAACAAAAAAAACAAACTATCTAAATCCAAACCAGATATTGGTTTAAAAAACAATAAGAATATTGGCAACATGATAATTAATCATTAAGCCGAAGACATTGATTCACAATACCCCACCACTGGAGGCTTTATTATACAATCATTATACTGTGAAACAGATGTAAAAAGACGTGATGCCGATTTATTTCAAGAGATCACGTACAAGGGAAAACAGAATGGTACCTGTTATATTCATGCATAGACCCGACATGGTATCTACACAAACCTCTTCAATTGTTAAACATGGAGACATTGGTATATTATCAAATAGGTGTTAAAACATACACGGCAGTCTAGTGTGAATTCAACAGTATAGCACTGATAACTACTAACTATTAGATCTCGTGTAGATTTATGATAGATTAGATTACGAGAATAAAGACAATAAGTCTTTTCATTATATATATGAATAATTAACCAAAGGTGCTGATCTACTTGGTCAGTTCTTTAGTCTGTAAAAAGACTAGCTACAACGTAGACCTATATGCACGTGTAGTTAATAAATTAAATAAAAAAAACTGTTATGAAACAGACACACATCTATCTATGATACTAGATACGAAATAAATAGCTAAAGGTCGGCCTCTGATGAGGGTTTACCTGGGAATACTCCCGAAAGAACCCGAAACATTGCATATTAAATTCTAAAGAATTAAGCAATAAAAAGTACGTAGTGTCAGGTCAGAAATATTGATACCATACCATGAATAAGTGGGTTTATGGTCTTTTTATAAAACAAGGATCCCCTATATCCTTTCTTCTCTATCAGATACGGATGTGGTTATGTAAAAAACATTTTAAACAATATTTTTGGTTATACGTTAGCTCTATTTAGGTTTGAATGTTTTCTACATTTTTTAAAGCGCATTTGACACAGTATGACGATCAGCACTTTGGTTAAACCTGGAACAAATAAATATAATTGTGAAATGTTTTACTGTAGTTTATACTATGTATCATAATATAAAGACATGTATAAGAACATGTAATGAAGTCTCTGGGTTTAATTTTAACTTTTTAGAAAGTGAGTTTAAGCAAGGTGATCATTTGTATCCCCTTTTTTGGAGAAAAAAAATAACATACTGCTTTTAATGATTGATACATTTTTGTGGTTTAACGCTTCTTTCAGCATTAATTGCTTTTCCGTGGCGGTCAGTTATTATTGGTAGATAATGCCAGTGTGCCCGGACAAAACTACCGACCTTCGGAAAAAAAATGGCAATTCTAGTCAATTTTAATGAAACTTCAGAGTGACTACACAGAAAAGAACAGTTATGCGATTATGGAAGTTGAAAATCGATACAAATCTGTTGAATAGTTTGTTTACAGGCGTTTATACCACATCTCGTATTTTTGATTCATAAAACTAGTTGTTATACTTAGTAAAAGAGATAAAAAAAAACATTATATAAACTTTACGATTGATGGACAAAATATGGAAGTAATTTCAGAATTTTCTGAATTATAAAGGATGTTTTTGCATTCAAAAAAGATACTGTTAAGACAAGCTATTGTAGATATCTATGAACATGCTTTCAATACGAGAATTTAGAAAAAAGCTGATTCCTACTGAAATGCATTTGAAATTTTGTGACCGTCTTTCTGCACCTGTATGACTTACATTGTATATTTGTAGTTTGAAATTTTTAGAATAAAAATGGAATAGAAAAATTAAATCTCTGAATTGTAAAAAAAAAATCACGCACGCAACGGTACACCAAGTTTAATGGTATGTGGCGAAGTTTAACTATTTAAAACATCAAACGAAAAGATTTTGTTTTGAAACAGTTTAGTAATCAATGATAACGATTGTCCTCCATATTATACAGATTGACATTAAATACAAGTAACTGTGGTTTATTCTTCTCAACTTCAGTGGATTTTATTTTATATGTTTTTAAAAATTATCTTGGATGATTGAGGTCTAAAATTATCTGAAATATGATCAAATTACAAATGACAGATTGCTATTAAAATATAACAAAACAGCTGCAGTTCATAGAAGATCATTATATATTCAAGAATGGTTTCTCATATGAATAATTCTTCCAGGGTTGAGTTAATATATTCTTTAATACTTAAACAAGAATTCCAACTGGAGTCTTATTTGTTTAAATTGAACTCGAATTATTTAGAATTCATATTTCAAAACTCTTATTTTTTCAAACATTTTCCAGAAACTGGAGATGATCTTGAATACAGAGACGCTCAACAAAAAATGGTCATGAAATATATAGTCACTGACTTTAAAAAGCCTTTAGAAATGCCAAATACCTCAACATTCGCACTAAAATACATGCCTTCTTGCAAGCTTGTTTTAAATTTTCGAATTGTATAAATGATTTCATTCACTGCTTGATTCATAATATCTCAAGGTAATCTTGATACCTTAAAAAAAGGAAGATACACCTTTTTCATTTCAGGCGTCCGAAGCATTTTTCTGTATTAACCGTTATCAGGAATGATCAAAGACGAATATTTGAAAGCCAAGGATGTACATATATAAAAACAGAAACAGCTGAAGAGATATATGATCAAAAAAGGACAAAAATGACAAATCCATATAAGGTGAAACTTTAGTTTCTGAATAATTTCTAAAATTGTGAGAAGCGGAACGACATATCCTTTACTTTAGTTAATATGGCGATGTTATTCTCATAGAGTAAAAATTTTCAGGCGATTCGATTTGCGTGGAATTTTTAGTTTTCACAGTTACTCAACTTCGTATTTTATTTGGACATTCAACTGGCGAGTCTTATGCAGACGAAACGCGCGTTTGGCGTACAAACAAAAGTTTGGTATACATTAGATTTAATTTTTGTTTATATGACTCTAAATTGTAATAATTGAACAAACGTGACATTACTAGTGTCACATCAATTAGATCTGGTATAATTTGTATTTTGAATTTTAAGATAACTATTTAATCAATTTCGGATAATTGTCCATTGATTATCAATCGCAATAATAAATGCACGCAATGTGTTCTGAATTTACAGTGTTTTCTTCAGTTACAATCAGTGAACTAATACAGTAACAAAATTCTAATAAAATATCTACAGTTATTGATGTGTGTATTTTTTTTTAATGAAAGAATGTCAAATTACCATAAAAAGATGTCCAATCTGATTTTAGATTCCGTGACGAAGTCCATGCGGTAAAGATTTCGGGTAACTCAGTTAAATCTCTCTTCGTGTGCATGATGTTGCCGATAGAATAAACATTGCAGAGTTTCTGTGCATCCTTCCATGTTACTGTGTAAAAGAATCATGTATTAAGTACGATTCATATACAAAGCTTATTTTGACTATTACATACGGCACACTTATACAAAAAACGAGATGTGGTGTGATTGCCAATAAGACAACTATCCAACAGAGACCAGAGGACGACGGTGTACATGAAAACAACTATTATAGGTCATCGTACGATCTTACGACCTTCAAAAATTAAATGTGGCTTCTTAAACCGCTTCTGTGAATACAAATGTCCTACATCATTCTTTAAATCTTTAAAAACTAAGTAATTTACGAGAGAAAAATATCTATCAGAATCACCAAACCACATTTCCAACAAATCGAATCATCTGATAACGGAATAGACAAAATGAGTGCTTACTTAATCTTTTACGCAATTGACGAAAGACAGATGAATGAACGAGGATGATTTCTTTGGTCTTTTGATTGACATTAAGGTAAATATTCTTCAAACCTTATTCCATATGTTTGTACACAATGACACATGTATAAGTCTTCGTGAATAAACATAAAATAATTGCCACTTTTGGTCAAGAACCCAATTATCGATTAAGTATAGACTATTATACAATACATTAGAATTATCGTAGAAGAGAAAATATACTAACCTTTTGATGAATTGAGAAAGTATTTGGCAGATACAATATCAGCGTTTAGTAGTATAAAAATTTTCAAAGCTAAACCCCACATTTTTTTTTATTGTATAATGGTAAAGGAAATAATTGTAAAAAAATAATTATTTCCTGAAAATAAACGGATACAGATACTATATATATCGTTTAAAATGAAATAAAACAATGCAACTAACAATTACTCTTCACGTCCGTTTCAATTGAACTTTTTTTTGTATTTGCTCTGTCGTCAAACGAAACAAATGTTTTCCTCAAAAGAATCCGCGTGTTAAACCGGTTGAAGGAATTAGCCGCATAAACGAAAAGCTCAAATGAAACCATGTTCACGAACCATCTATACCGCATTGATAATGATTAAGTGTAACTTACTACTTCCATCTAGTTAAAAACAAAACGATGTGGTATGATTGCAAATGAGACAACATTCCAGCAGAGACCAAATATATAAAAAAAAAATGCAAGATTACCGTACGCTCTTCAACTACGAGCAAAACCAATACTTCAATGTAAACTATAAAAAGCCACGAAACGACAAACGTAAAACAATTCTAACGAGAAAACAAAACGGTCTGATTTATGTACAAACAATAAACGAAAAACAAATATGATATACAGCAATAAAAGAAAAGCACTGAATTACAGGCTCCTGACTTGGGGCATGCACATACAGAATGTGGCAGTGTTGAACATGTTTTCTGGTACCAAACCCTCCACATAACATTGAACAGTTGTGTAACAGTACAATATAAAAACAAACTATGCGGTATGGGTTTTGCTCATTGTTAAAGGCCGTACGGTTATTTTCTGGTTAAATTGTGGTCCCTAGTAGCGATGTGTCTCATTGGCAATCATACAACTCATATAAAGACCAAATGCACAAAGTACAGATCTGAGAGTACTCTCAGTTACTGAAAGCTAGTTGAAAGTCAATAACAACTAAATAAACTGATCTATAAAATAATTTTCTTAAATTCTACGTTGATAAATTTCATATAAGAAACTAAGGTTCCAACCCCTTCACGCAGAGTTGACATATGTCGAATTTATTTGTTTACGTATTAACCTAAAGCAGATACTGCATTACATTTAAGACTTAGTCATTACACATAGACTTAGAAACCTTGGTAAGGCACTTGTCATAATGGAACTTGCCGTTATCTTAAGCAATACGTAAAAAATACATTACCATGATAGGTTATTTAGGACGTGAAAAAGAACAAACAGTAATATTGTCAACACGTATTGACACAATTGCCGTTCCCTGTTACAGTATTTTTATCCGTAGGACTATAAATGCATTAATACGAAATATAGTTTAACGTGTATCGGGCTATTGTTGGCGTGTCAGTTTATTACGACAGCTAAAAACAAGATCGGCACAAAACAGAAAATTTCGGTGTTAGTGAAAAGGTTAAGTCATATTTACTCAAATCTCTTCCAGTAAGATATATTGAAACATATAGCCATATTTGTTTACAATCATTAATGAACTTTATCTTGGCGTCAGTATTTCAAATTGCATGAGTGTTTGACATACGGTATATTGATCATATATAGTCACGTACGTAGCATTATATCTTCCCAAAATGTTTTAGTCAGAAGTGAGATAAACATGAGAAACTACTTTATTCTGCAACTGTGTTATTACCACCATTCTTTCCACAGTAAAAGATAGCCTTCAGAAATATTGTGAAGAGGTATATTCCACCAGCCGTGTCAATTAGATGTAGATTCTTATAAATTCTATAGATATACTCCAAAATCTATAATCACAAGGTTTATAATTTTGGAGTATTATCAAAACCTCTACTCTTTACGCTACTATTCCCATGCTCAATTGAAAGATTAATAACAACATCCCACTAAACAAAAATTGGAAACGTCGATACAATTCCTTGTATAAGGTAACGAAAAATATTTGTGAAGAACCTCACGGATTCCCACATCAAATACACTGAAGATGAAATCATGAAAATGCTTGATTATCTTTATCGACAACATATTTGTTGACTTAGGTGAAATGATATTTCAGCAGTCATTTTGTATTTTTCAAAAGGTTCAAAATGTACACCACTAATAGCCGACTTGTTTTTGTACTGATATAAAGCAGTATTCATATAGAACCTCTTTACAGGCAAACAGTAAATCAATTGGCAAAGTTCACTTTCAGATACTTGTACTAGTATATTGAGGATGTTATGTTACTCAATTACCCACATTTCAATATCCTAGTAAACTTGAAATTACTACCGAATGTAGAAGGTCTGCTTTATATGATCAATATCTAGATATTGTCCTCAATATTATCACAGGTAGACGACTTTCAACTAGAATCTATGACAAACGTGAAGATTTCACTTTTCCATTTGTCAACTTTCTATTTCTCACCAATAACATACCTTCTCATCCATCATACGGCGTTTACATATCTTAGCTGATACGGTTCCTCGCACATTACACAAAAAAACTGCCCAAACAGAGACATGAGAAATAATGGCTGAAATCGACATAACATAAATTTTACTGTCGTCAACACGAATTGGTTCATTGATACGATGTGTTGGTGTTTCAAAAGAAGGAGGAAGATACCAAAGGGTTAGTCAAACTAACAAGTCAATTACGACCTGACAATGCCATGGTAAAAAACGAAAAACAACCAAAAGACAAACAACAGAATTCAAAACATGGCATACAAAAACTAAGAACTGAGCAGAACAAACTTCCAGGGGTGACCAATGTGTTCTGGAAGGTTAACTCACTAACGAAATGTTTTCGCGATCTTAGATCTTTAGATTCCAGAAAAGTCATTTGATCAGTAATTTTAACAAAAGTGTCCTGTTTCCGATTGTGACATTTGTACGCAGTGCGAATTCGCATGGCGAGTGATGCATGCATATCAGATGACGCTGGATATCCAGTCAACAAATCCGGTCCCTCTCTTTTGAAGTTCATGCGAATATCTGTTTCTGTTTGTTACCTTGATTTGTCCCTTTCTAATCGATGCACGAGTATTGAACATCGGTAAATTAATGTCGGCTTAATTCATTGCGCAGTCAAAAGCATCGACTGCATAAATATTTCTGATATACAGTCATTGGTCGTATTAAGCCTTGTTTGTGACGTTGACAATGTGTTTTTGTAGAGTGTTATTTGATTAAGACATCGTGAAAGACTGCAGGTTCATTGAATGTTAACGTCTTCCGAAACAAATAGGCTCTAAATCACAAACTTGCAGCAAATTAAAATTGAGAATGGAAATAGGGAATATGTCAAAGAGACAACAACCCGACCAAAGAGCAGGAAACATCCCAAGGCCACCAAAAGGTCTTCAACACAGCGAGAAAATCCCGCACCCGGAGGCGGGTTTCAGCTGGCAGAATAGTTAACAGAAGAAACTAAGCAAAACGACAATGATACATAAATTAACAAAGGACTACTAGCAGTTACTGACATGGCAGCTCCAGATCTCAATTAAACTGATTGAAAGAATTATGTCTTCATCATAAGAAAAACAAGCACCATCCCTTCCGTAAGGGGTTTAGTATCATAACCATCATAAAATATGTGAGAAGAACATAACCCGTATCATGCCAACAACTGGTTTTAGAATAAATGTGTTTATTTCCGATGCAAAGACACTATTAGTGAATCAATATTAATTCCAAAATAGGCCATCTTTAATGACCTGCCAACAGTATCGTAACTATATCCTTTCAGCAAATGCAGAAATGTCCTATATTCAATTCAGGATAACAATACAATTAAAGCGTTCGACAAAAAATAATATACGAATTAGTTGCAGTAGCTGTTGAAATGACATCCTACAGAAAAAAGAACCAGCTTGTATTATCTGAAAGGTACTATAAAGATTTACTTCCGTTAGAGATTTGTTTTTGTTTTGAATACTTGCAAGCAAAATACACTATACTGAACAAAATAAACCATTGTCTCTAGCAAGACTTTCAAAAAAATTTATCTATCCGTTATGCCGGCCAAATGTATGACTTACTGGTAAATTGGGTATCCATAGAAGCAAGCCGTACGGTTTACCATATCCAGATCTATCGTAGCTCGCTCATTCTTATAAGCATAACGAAATCAGAGATCTATATTTATATTAGACTGGCAATCTGTACAAATACTAGTATATGCCATAGGTTATATAGTACTGATGGCGTGGCAAACATTCACGTTACAAAAATCTTAATGTAGTGGAACATCTTACCAAAATAAGCATATGCATATAAATATCCAACACTACAGAAATATATTACATTCATATTAGGCAAGAACGTGTAACAAGAATATGAGCTTTGTACACTGCTTTGTATTAGACGGACACGTTGACAGAATGGAACGGATCTTTAACTAGTACAATGATAACAGTCCGCAAGAAAACATGTCGCCCTTCCTGGATACATTATTTTGACTGCGTGTCGAGCAGTTTTTGCTATACCTCAAATGCAAATGCCACATGCTAAGCATAGAAGCAGCAAAACCCAATTGTCATGTCTGTCTCTAATACAAAAAATCGCTTTGGTATATTGTCCTTGGAAGGTAATACAATATTAACTTGCTTATTATAAAAAAAAAAACATAGCAAAGATAATAATACTGACCTATAACTGAACTATAACAAAACATAGATGTGCATTGATATTTGAAAAAACTTAAAACACTTTCAATTATAGTGAAGAGTTCAAATTATGTAGTAGTACACTAATCTTGAGAAAAATGTTAATGTACAAAACAAACGATCAAATGAATTACATTACATGTACAAAATAACTAATGTACATGTCTGTGCATTCAAAGTGTAAAATATTTACAAACTATAATGTGAAATTTTCAAATTAGTCTGCGATTGTATGATAGTCTCCGCTCGTCTGTAGCATGCTAGAAGGGATAAGATATCCAGATGTATCAATGTGTTGTATTTGATCTATGTTCTGTTGGACAGTGGGTTTGCCTCCTGAAGCAGAGATTTCTGATAACGGTGACACCTCATAGTATTGCCCTGTAACGGAATCTGACATTTGATGTGGTATTTCGTTGTAGTTGTTCTGATCTCGTCGTACTGTTAAAGTGGTGTAGGAAGCTTTCATCAATTTTCGTCTTTGGATAAAGATACTGAAAAATAATTCTATATGTGAATTGATGCAAACGGAAGCCATTGACAAGCCGATGGTCACATTACTTGACATAGTCAACTTTGAAGCACCCTTCAATTTTATAAATCTATCACTAAATCTAGTATTTCATTTGGTTTGTGCACGTGCTTGTGCTTGACGTTGAAAGTAATAAAATAAGCTAAATTTCTGTAGAAAGAGGTAAATTATATATCGATGTTCTGGTAGATGATTTTTGAATAAGTAAAATTATCATTTAACGAGAAAAGCACGATTTGGACAATCATCGACTTATACATCATAATATCTTATGATTGTGGCCTGTTATATATTTCTTGCTTGCAGAGATATTTCTCGTATCACACTGCACGGAATGTGATACGAAAAAGTGATACGAAAACTGCGTTAATTTTGATTGGCTTAACCAGCATCAGGAAACGATATTACGACATTTCCATTGGCTATTCGTTAGGTCATTGTTAACTTTTAAAGGTTAAGGCGATGTACATTTCGTGCATGGCAACGGACATAGGTGATTTCTTCAATTTTATATAAACACTCACACTTTACATCTGGAAATCCTCTTTTTATCAAATTTTATTACATTCTGAAGCGTACAAAAATATTTAGAATGTTTGATGTTAAAGTTTGACACCGGAAATAGACATATGACGTCATAGTGGTATGTGCTAAAGACTAGATCAACGATTCGCGGAATTTTTTATTTAACACAATGAGAGTGTTGATCATAAGAGAAATAGGTTTAACAACTCGTGAGAATAGGATATCGCTTGTCCCGCTTCAGGTTAAAGTTTTTGGTCAAGGTGGTTTTTGATGTAGTTGAAGTCCAATCAACTTCAAACTTAGTACACATGTTCCCTATGATATGATCGTTCTAATTTTGATGCCAAATTAGAGTTTTTACCCCAATTTCACGGTCCACTGAACATAGAAAAGGATAGTGCGAGTGGGGCATCCGTGTACTATGGACACATTCTTGTTAATAAATACAACATATCGTTTCTTTTTTTATATAAGCCCAGACAATAACGAATAGTGGAAATTTAGAAAATCCATTCAAAGGTACAAAATTGAAATAATGAAAAAGTACATATAATCGCAAAGAGGTAAGGTCATAGAGGTCATGAGACATACTGATATGAAATCAAAGGCTTGAAAAACTAACACTAAAAGAAAGAATGATGGCACGTGATGCCGGAGGGAATCATATTATTAAGTATGGTGTCCCACCTATGTTAAGTATACATTTTTATGGTACACTACAGTTCAAATGTGTTATTATATCCAACTATCTACTGATGGAGTGGACAAATTATTCACTTAGATTGTCCCCTGAGTTCATCCTATGGAGTTGATATACAATCATAGTTCATACACAATCTTGGAAAAGTAAGTAAAGCTTTCTACAAAATCTAAAGATGTTATGGATGTATTTTAGTAGGGGGTTGTTATGGTTGACAGGCTGGAAATTATGAACTCGAACTGCGCTGTTGCACAGTATCATTGAAAAGTATGATTATTGAATAAATCAATAAATGATGTGCAATATCGAATACAAAACTAATGTGAAATAATAAAAACGTTTAAGTATATCAAATTAATAGCAGTAATGTTCAAGACAAACATTTGTGCGCTTGAAAATTGTGTCTTGAAAAGGACAATAATTGTTATATCTACGATTTAGTTTGTTTGTTGAAACCTTTTTATTCAAAACGAGCATACAGGTTCCTCTATAGCTAGTTTACCGGGAATTGCTTACCATTTCGGAAATCTTTGAATTTTGTAATCATTATTACGTCATGATTGATGATTGGCACTTAACGTCACTTTCAACGGTCTTGGCTATATCACGGCAACCAGTGTTGATTGGTGGAGAAAGCGCATTGCTCGTAGAGAACCATTGACCTTCAGCTGGAAAACCTGGAAATCCTAGTCTATTAAGTTCGGAGTCGAACGCACCTGCCCTGCGCGGGGTTCGAACTCACCACCTCAGTGTTAACAGGCTAGTGACAACTGTAGGTGAACTACTTAGACTAGTCGTCCACCAAGGCCTACGTAGGGTTACATTTGTGTACGTTAAAAACATCTGGTATGAAATGAAGTCTCTGTATCGTATACATTTAGTAACGCAAAGGATGTCACTGGTCTATTAGAAGCTGCCGACCTTTCCGAAACACAAGAGTACACAACCGGTTCTGGAGTCGTTACATGCTGCTCATCTTCAATATGTGGACTGTAGTTTTTTTTTTTTTTGTCCTTTTAATTTGTACGGTATGTTGTTTGTCGTTCTTTGATTTATAGTTTATGATGCCATCTTACTATTCTTATCTTTTTGTTTTCTTAATTTCATTGTTAATGTTCCAAACGAATTATATATGCCCCGCCGTCTTGAATATTGATACTGTTAAATATCACAACATCGAGCGAGCGGAACGAACGAATTAAAAAGGTTTAATATTTTGTCGAGGAGCTGGTATGTTATGATATCAATGTAACGAAAATCTCGTAACCTATTTATCGGATTGTATTTGTGTGTTTTTCATGATAGAAGTTCATGTCATACTCATCAACGTCGGTTTAAACATTACGACGTCGATACTAAGTTTGGGTCAACGTTTAGAAGGTTGAGTCATTTAAGGTCACAGCGCATTTTTATGTAATTTTTTGAAGAGCTGAGTAGAGCGATACATGCAGAAAGAAGACCGAAAACACTTCATAGTTGGATGCAGAGATGCTGCATACAACAGGATATAGTTAAATATTATGGCAATATAAAATTTTACTTGACAAACAATGTTTTATCCTTTTCCATTTTGTGAATTTTTATTACAAAATATTGTAGAAAAAAACGTTGGTCCCCCCATTCAATTTTGTAAAACGAAATCTCCCTTTCAAAATGATAATGTAGTTAAAAGATGCCTTAATAAGTTACTTTAAAACTTACATGACCAGGAGAAAAATAAAAATGGTTGCAAAAGATGCAGCACCTCCAGCAGTAATTTTGATACACAAATCTACAATAATTAACAAATCTGTTTTTATACACAAAAAAATCAGCAAGGAAACAAAAATCTGCAATGACACACAAATCAGTATCTATGCACACATCTACAATGATGCACAAATCTGCACTGAAACACAAAGGTCATTAATGATGGCATTTTTTTGGAATAAATATTGATTCACTCATAGGATCTTTGTATCGGAAATAAACACATTTATTCTAAAACCAGTTGTTGACATGATACGGGTTATGTTCTTCTCGTCTCGTATATCTTATGATGGTATGATACTAAATCCCCTAACGGGATTGATTGTGCTTGATTTTCATATGATGAAGACATTATCTTTCGATCAGTTTAGTTGGGGTCTGGAGCTGGCATGTCAGTAACTTCTAGTAGTCCTTTGTTAATTTATGTTGATCATTGTTATTTTGCTTATCTTCTTCTGTTACCTATTCCAACATCGGACTCTGACTTCTTTTAAACTAAGTTTTACTGTGCGTATTGCTGTGTGTTTGTTTACTCAACGTTGACTAGAATTATAGGGGGAGTGTTGAGATCTCATAAAACATGTTTAACCGCATTTTTGCGCTTCTCCCAAGTCAGGAACCAATGGCCTTTGTTAGTCTTGTATTTTAAATTTTGGTTTATTAATATGTTTCGGAGTTTAGTGTGACGTCCATTTTCGCTGAACTAGTATACATTATTGTTAAGGGGTCAGCTGAAGCCCGCCTCTGGGTGCAGGATTTTCTCGCTGTGTTGAAGACCCATTGGTCGCCTTTGGCTGTTTTCTGTTCTTTGGTCGGGTTGTCTCTTTGACACATTCCCCGTTTCCATTCTCAATTTTAGATAATACACAAATTTGCAATGATACACAAATCTGCAATAACACACAAATCTATAATGCCTAGTAAAGGGAGAATGCAACGCTGTGTGTGTTTATTAACTCTTTCAGGGGTTTGTAGGTGGTCTGATGAACAGCAAAAATTCTGTTCCCTCATTTTACAGTGGTAGTCCAAATTTTCCACCTTTACCCTAGTCAGCCAAACTTTCAGAACGTATAGCTGACTATTTGATCTGTATTTAATTTTTAATTTGTTCTGGTCATGAATATGCATGAACTATTTGTATGTAGGCTTTAAGCAATCAATCTGAAATACATTTATTCATACATGTATAGTCTAAATCTTATAGAACATTGATAATTATTTTTTTTTATCTTGATTGTGTTTTAGAACAAAATGAAGTGTGAAGATTTGAATAGGGTTCGTGAAGCATTTTAAGGTTTAGAATATATAACTTATTACTTACATTAATACAATTTTTACAAAAAAAACACATTGATTTATGTATACTCTGATGCATGATTTTTTGTGTGATGTAAAAAAAAAAATGAAGCTGTAAACAATTTTGATTATTTTGAGTTGATCGGGAGTAACTTCAATTCAATAGATTAATTGAAGTGGTTTCTATTCAAGAAAAGGTAGAAGGTTATGTTAATTGTTCATCGTACACACTTACTTATAAGGCAAAACATTTTATTGTCATTACATACACCAAATATGGTTAACCTATTTCATATAGTATCCGAGAAACGGACCTTATCACGAATTTAGTATTGACCTATGTAGGACTCGGAGATGCGATGGGGACACTGAAGTGCGATGGTCACGCCGAAGTGCGATGGTCTTCGCCGAAGTGCAATGATCCTTTCGCTGATGTGCGATGGTCTCTAAGACGTGTGATGGCTATAGTTAAACTCTACAGATGTTTAATTATTCCAATTATCATAAGATTTTGTTCTTTTATTAGTTAGTATAAACTGGTAAATACAAACATTCAATATGTTCTCCTGTTGCAGTAAAAACTATCTTGTTCCTTGTTCTCATTTACAACAGCCGTATAAATTCTCCGCGTATTTTGTTCTGTTCTTACTAATCAAGTAGTATTTGCATTTCAAATAACTACTACGTTTTTCAGTTATCGCAATAAGTACTGGTTATAAAGAAAAATAAACTTTTATGTAGCGTTTATAGTGGTCAATATCTAAACGATTGTATGAACTATAATAACTAATTCCTTTTGTGTCTAAAGCTAATTACAAAGTACACTATAGCGTTACAGTTAGGACTGAAACGGCAATGACTATTTATCATGACTATTTTAAGTTAAACAGGTTATAACCCGATATTTTACCTTAAAAAAAAATGAAAAGCTACTTCCAACAAACAATTGACTTTAACATTTACATGTGAACATTGATTTATGTAATCCATCGCACTTCAGCGTTACCACCATCGGACTTCGGCGTAGCTATCAACAAGATAGCGTCACAATTCCACCATCTCACTTCAGAGTGATAAAAAACGCACTTCAGCTTCAAACCATCGCGCTTCAGCGTGACCATCGCGGTTCGGAGTACCATCGCGGTTCAGGGCCCTACACCTATAAACCATAAAATGAGGCCAAGGTCATAAATACCCTGCAATAAATCTATAAACCAAATGTACTTGCCAATTAATTCATAATAACTGTTAAAAAATTACGTGACGAAAAGCTGTAAAGTATTTATAGTAGACGCTGCGCCATGAAAATGAGGCGAAAAACATATGCCGGACAGAAACATCAGAACAAAATGGATCATTTTGTATACAAGATATCAAATATGAGGAACTTTTACTTTCGCAAATATGAAGCTTTAAACAAAGACTTTACGCTTTTGCCGCAGTCGGATTACCATCCCAACGTGTATTTCTCGGATTCTGCTGTGTTTTTCACAATGTTTCACAATGTTCTAATTCAAACAAAACTACGGAATATCCATGCGTGGCGTAATAATTCAGACAGTTCGCATTATGGAAGATGAGTAGGAGATACGATCTATTCTTAAACTTTTCCTTGCTAACAATGGTCTTGGTGCTATCCATTTAAGCAATATCCTTCATCATAAATTTGGTAAATCTAAAGTATCGCCTACTTCATAGATTAGTCTGTACAAGTTATCCCTTATATGTTTGTACTTATACCACACTTATTGCGACCATAATGTTCAACTACAAATAGGTGTATCAGAATAGCAATATTAACAACTTACCAATACAAAATGTTATTTCAATTTTTTATAAAAAGTATATTGCAGCTGTATTTACTGGAGGAAAAAAAACAGCTGGAGCTTAACATGCAACATGCATGTATGCATTTATCTAGTCATATGTTTATCTGTTATACACTCTGAAATCTGCAATATAGGCTCATACAACAAACTGACATCTGTTGCCCAAAATTTATTAGTTATTATCGTGGTTGGCCTTCCCCCCAACCATTAATGATTTGTTTTAGTTTTTTACTGAAATAACGTATGATAAATTTACCAAATAACAGTTGACGTATCTAAATAATCAATTAATTGATAGACAATAAATACTATAAATGGTTTGTACATTTTTAAAGCCAGGTTAATGTCTTGCTGATGCATCAAATGATACTCGTCAGTAAATTAATTAGTTCTGCACTATTTTTATTTACAGTGGTTGTTTGGCGTTATATTTTGGTGTTGCGCCCAGTATTTTTTTTTAAAAGTTTTAAATTTTCATACCAATTTTATCATTCGCTTTACCAGGTCTTTTTACATCTGAAATGTTTGTTAAAGTAGGCTTCACTGTTTTATCGAAAGTTGATTCCGTTGAGATCGCAGAAAACTGACTACTACGATTCACAAATACTGGTGTGCTTATATCACCTACAAACATAAAGCAGTGTAGTTAAGAAAATCTGGTATAATTCTAAACAATGTGTTTTAATTTTAGGGTATTCGATATAGTAAAGCAAAGATAAGTTTAGAAAATTTGAGGATCCTTAGAAACGTTTAAAGATTTAAAAAAAATATTATAAAAAACTGTTACATAAAAGATGTTTTTGAGGAAAAAAGATTTAAGATTAATATAAATAAGAAGACGTGGTATGAGTGCCAATGAGACAACTCTCCATCCAAGTCACAATGTATAAAAAGTTAACAATTATAGGTCAAAGTACAGCCTTCAACACGGAGCCTAGGCAGAACATTTGTTATCTTGTATTTAGATTTTATGACAACATTAATATTTAACCATAAAAAAAATCTAAAATAAAAACTAGTATGTGCAGCAATACAAAAGTCAAATTGGTGTAATTTAAAAGTTCTAGTGATGTACATTTGCCAAAAAGTAGATTTACACGCCCATATTATGGTTTCATTCGGACACGTAATTGAATTTTCGTACTTATAAACCATAATTGAGAAATTTTACAAGGTTCTTGTATTGTCATTTATTATATTAATACGTAGTTGACTTTCATTGTGCATTTTGAAATAAGTAATAAAAGTTTTGACACCGCGCTTATTATAGATAAATCGCTTTAACGTCGTTCCTGTAAACCCCGATTACCCAATGTTCTGCTCACATTTTACGGGAACATCATTTTTGAAACTTTTGAAAAAATTTTTGAAAAATTCCATGCCCAGTGAGTATAATAAAAATCCCAAGTGCATGGATCGTCAAACAGTAAGTGGCAAGAAGAACCGGAAATTGGTAACACTACAAAATGTATGTTGCTTAACACTATAAAGTGTTTGAAGCTTTAAGGGCATACGATACAGTTACAGGGGAGGTAATGACGTTGCTAACGTAAATTGTTATTTTCGCGACGTCAAACTGTGACTTATCGGGAAAAGATGCAGTTTTCGACTGATTTTTATCATTCAAACTGATTTAACTTGAAAACGAGTTCATGGACCCCTCTTTTTTAAAAAGGCATTTGGTTTGATTACGTAGGAAGATTATGTGTACAGATTTTCACGAAAAAGTCAATAGTGCAATTTGATAAATATACAGCAAAAAATGACGTTTTTTTTCTACATTCATGAACATTTGATAAATATGAGTTATTTGTAAAAATAAAATGCACAAATTTATAGAACATTTATATAAAACAGAAATTACAAATAATTTAACAAAAAAACAGCTTGTGTTTATCTTTTAAAACAAAAAAGTTATGTATTTCTGTCGAAAGGAAAAATACGTCCACAAATCCGAATTTTGAGGAAATATCTGAAATTTCAACCTCAATTTGCTCAAAAAGTAGCACACGATGGTATATTTTTTATTACATATTTGATTTAATCAGGTAAAAATAGCCTATATGCAAATTTTCATCAAAATTTCATTATGGGATCAAAACTGTATCGTATGCCCTTAAGGAATCACATTTAAAGATCGACGTAGAATAGAAAAAAACTTAATTCACATAGTTACGAGGTAAAAAAAAGGGAGGGGTGTCATTCCGGCTGCAAGTTTTGTTATCCTACATTGATTTTTCGATGTTAAATAAATACATATGAAAGTTCTATCTTAAATGTGTTTGGACCTTTCATGCAAATCAAAGGTAATAAATCGTCCAGAATAGTCAATTTAGGCGAAATCTCATTAACAATAATTGGATACCCCATTTTTTGCGTTTAATCAAATTAGACTCATCAGTGGCGCTCTTGTCAAAAGAGTTTGAAGGACCACACAAATATGAAGTTGAAGAGCATTAAAAACGAACAATTTCAAAAAATAAACTTTATCAGGTAAATGTATCTATTTCATTCGAACCGTAATTAAATGGTAATTTTTAATCTCAGTGAAACATTGATTTGTCTCGATTAATAAAATAAAACCTATGCTTAATAAAAAGTTTACAGTCATATAAATTTCCTCATCTTACCATAAATTACCAATAAAAATGGTTCCCTACTAAATTTAAGCTACATATCTGTTAAACAATGATTTTTTTTAAATAAGCATTTTTAACAAAAAATCAGATATAAGTCAAAAACAACATCCAAACACTATGCGATTCCCCACAGTTGGCACATAAAAAGGCAGGTTCTACACTGACTGTATGTAGTAAAGGTAAAAAATGATTCACATACGAGTATCATTTGATGCATCAGCATATGCACATCAATATTTCCAGTTATGCAGATATGCCCAAATTCCATACAAACAGAAGACACCATTCATTGTTGAGGAACCCCAAGGGTGATGGATTTGGGAATAAGAAATGGTCAATGGCGGTCTTCTTCCGACCGCCAGTAAAATATTGAACAGTGGGACGTCCGTTCGGTTGTGTGGGATGTATAATTTGAAGGGGGTGTTAAATTCGATGCCACATGTAAAGAGTGCCACGCTCTCTGCATGTTAAGAACCTTTGCAACAACTGTTTGAGTGGTCTGTAGTATGCCTTTTGCTAGGCTAAATTTCTGTCTCTTTCCAATTAACCCTAATTTTTTAGTAGTAGTCCACATTTCCAGCCCTTATCCCGGTTGATCCCTATTACAGGACCTACGTATACCTATTGCATGTAGTGTTCTCGTCCTGAACACGCATGAAATATTTCCCACTGAACGTTAAACAACTAAGAATCAATCATTGTTGAGGAAACAACCATCATAATACTGCATGCTAACTTGCATTTAAAACATTCTTTAAACGGATATGCCTAAATTGGTTAATCAATATTTTCCAAATTAAGTTACATGAGTGGTTACAGGGGGAGGGGGTCCAGGAAAAATCTATGTGAATGTAGTTTATAATCCTACATTGAAGTTTTGATGTGATCCCTAAAGGTCAGTGAAAATCGACGTATGTATGTAATGGCTGAAATTGTAAGCATATCTTATCTCAAAGACGGTGCAGTAAACAATTAACTGGCATTGCACAAGGTCATGTTTTTTCTCCGACTGTTAATGCCGTCTTTTCATTAAATCCATTGGATGTTGGATGTGTACTGATTGATACGTTACTAGTCTTAGATACATGATTTTTTATTAGTTGTTCTTTGCTTTGAACTAGCTGTCAGTAATTGCGAGTACTCTCAGATCTGTACTTAGTGTCTTTTTAGTTGTAGGGATATATAAATACCCTACCACGTCTGGTGTGTGTTTTTGTTACTTGTTTTCTCTGCTTTTGCTTTGTATCGATCTGATGAGTTAAGCCATTTTCAACAGTTTTTTGTAGTTTGTTCATATGTTGTGTTGTTACACTACTGTACCAGGTTAGGGGGAGGGTTGGGCGCCCGCAAACATGTCTAACCCTGCAACATTCTGTATGTGCCTGTCACAAGGCAGGAGCCTGTAATTCAGTGATTGTCGTTAGTTGCTGTATATCATATTTGTTTTTCATTCATTGTTTTGTACATAGTTTTCTTGTTTGAATTATTTTTCATTTGTCATTTCGGGGCCTTTTAAAGCCGACTATGCAGTATGAGTTTTGCTTATCGTTGAAGGCCGTACGGTGACCTATAGTTGTTATCTTCTTTGTCATTTGGTCTCTTGTGGAGAGTTGTCTCATTGGCAATCATGCATCTTCTTTATATTTGATAGTCGACTATACGGTATGGGTTTTTCCCATTGTTGAAGGCCGTGCTCAATCGTCTTCCCTCTTTGATGAACTGACTGAATGTTTTCCAGCAAAATCCGTCATTATCCACGTTTTCGGATACCAAAGTACAGTAAATCATAATTTTAATTTAGTGTTCAGTATATCATGATATGAATATAGTTAATTTGGGTAGGCAAATGCTCACATTAAATCTGTACCGATACAGTGTGTTAATTTTCCTCCTTTACATCAAACGCCATGTTGGTGCTCCTATCGAAGGAGGAAGATACAGAACATACATGCAACCTGAAACTACATGTGACATATACTATTTGTATCGGTATCGGATTCGATCCGGAACTTGTTAATTATTGATAATATTAGTTATGTGTAAAACAAAAGGGCCTGGAATGATAAAATTTTCAATCAACACCATTGTCCTATATTAGTTATATATAAAGTTGAATTCTTTGATTCGTCGTTTTTACGCCATACCGGCTAACAAATTAGATCTCGTTATTTTAGTCATTAGTGGCAAGCTTCCGGTGCATAAATTAGCTGGTATACATTTTGTAGCCGGACATATGACAATGATAAATCATAAATATCAATACTCAAATAATTCACTTTAAAGGCTGTAATATGATACAATTGATCGTTTTTAATGTAAAATGCCAGAAATGTAAATTTTATATTGATACACTTTTCGAAAACACAAATTATACTGTAAATTCGAACTCAGTGGTATTGTGTAGGAATCGGACACAGCCATCTAGGATACCATTATCAATAATACTCAAATAATTCCTGTTTAAGGCCGTAATTTAAGACAAAAAGTTAATCGTCTGTACAATATTATACCTTAATATGAAGGATGTAAACACACACTTTAGCAAAACTTGTGCAACTTTTACTTTTAAATACTTTACGTACTTTCGATTTTCATTGCGCAGGCACATGCAACAATTGACATTCTAGCGATTTTTACTTGTTTTTTATACAAATATTTGATTGTCAATTTGCTCTGATAAACACACCTCTTTGTTTCGATTGTTGAAACTATTGTAAATAAAATATCCTTGCATCACGATATATACTAACAACAAATAAAACAAAAAAATATGTTCCAGTTAGAAGTCTTTGAGGTTCAAAACAGAAATTCAAAACATATAATCTCTTGCTGACTTTAGTAAGCTCTTGACAGACTTGTATATGTTCCATTAACAACAACTTTTATTGTAATTATAAATATATTCATGTTTAAAATATATTCGGGTGTACCATGTGTTGTTGAGGCCCGTTATAAGACCAACAATCGAGCTTACATCTGAGCTTATTATAGTAATCCAGCGTACATTCAAAATTGTAAACCCGTCAGTGCAATAATTCTAAAGTAAGAATACTATAAATATATCCCTCGGTAGTGCCTTTGTCAGTTGAAGGCTTAACAGTGGCGGA